AGTGACTGATAACGGCTCTCATTTTGCTGCAGATGCAGTCACTACCTGGTTAAATGGTATGGGGTGCAAACATCTGTTTACTGCTCCCACACATCCTTGTTCCAATGGTCAGGCAGAAAAGTTTGTCAGGACGTTGAAAACTGCTATTGATTCTATTGCCGCCTCAACATTTAATGAGCTGGAGAGGGGAGTAGATACCTTTCTACTCCAATATAGAAATGCCAGACATTCGGTGACGAAAGATACTCCATCAAAGCTATTAAAAGGAAGAATCCCTCGGTCGAATATGAGATGTTTGGAGTCTGCAGAAGTTACATATTATCGTGGCAATGACCTTTGACCATCCACGGGGATTGTTCTGAAGAATGTCGGGAAATCTATGGTGCGACTTCTAGATATCAATGAATTAAGAACACACAATCGACATGTTGATCAAATACAATTCCAGTAACCGGGTGAGTCTGTTCCGATTTCGGTTGTTAATTCTAATACTAATGAGAGCATTCTAGATAATACAGAGTCTTTATCCAATACACCGTCGGACAGACACAGGATGAATTTGAGAAGAAGACGCACAACTGATTACAGAAACTTGGATTCCAATTTAAGCTGTGGCGGAGGTGGTGTTTGAATTAACTAGTGACTTCTTGGTTGTTGTTGAATGCTTGATTTCGAATTCTAAATACAGTACATTCGTTTGTGCACATCTTGTAGTTCTTGATCCTTAAATACAAATACTTCTAATTATCATAGAATCACAATTAACTATAACTACTTCAACTAAGAGTTTGAATTCGGTGGTTATGAAGCTTCTATGATTCAACTTCATTTCTAAAATCTTTCTCCCTATTATCAAATAGTTTTCAGAGCCGCTAATTTAGAAAGCAGGAACTACACACAGGGTTTCGAAGAATTTTTATTAAGTTACATCTTTACTGCAATAATACTCTTCCAATAACTAAATATGTTATTAAGTGTCCACCGAATATTAAGATTAACCTTAGAAACTAATAAAAGATCATGAGTATATTGCACCCGCTTTACCATCCATACAGGTATCACAAGGTGATAGACGAATCTCCCTACTCCTACGAAGAGCAACAGGTTATGCCATTGAGGTGCTACCCTTAAAATTTAAATCCGTGTCATTATCTTCCTATCTTTCACAGCAGTTCCAGTTTATATTTCTAGTAGACAAGTAAATTGAAAAGCCTGTAGATGATGCCCAATTATAAAGAACTAAAACTTCCCGTATCATTGTGAATCCCTTTTTGTTCATGTATTAGGAGTTTATTATATTTTTATTTCCCCGATCCATGAAAATCTAAACACCTTGCTTTCCTACCTATTTATTGCCCTACTCATGATTTTTAACAACATTTTTCCACTGTTTTCTTCCTTCAGCTGCCTATATTTCCTATCTCCAAACTACCTATTAACTGACCCATACCTTACAATTTATACCAGTGTGATATGCTACGTGGATTCCTAGTCCGACATACAGAAGCCGTTTTCAGGATTGCTTGTAACTTGGAGCTAGTAGAGAAAGTGTTCCCGACAAAACACAGAGTTTAGACTAAGAAGCATCAGTTAAAATCTACAATTAAACGTGAGACAGCCTAACATCACGAAAGGAGGCTGGGTGGTGTATCTGACCAGCATTCATGACGGTGGGGCGACAACTTCAATCTATCCATGTCTGTGGGGCAGAACATCTTGTTTTCTTTCGGCTCCTTACGAGATTGCAGGATGTAACTAGTCAACCATATTGATGTTACCTGTCCTTGTTAACCGTACGATTAATTACACATTCGTTATATTACTGGTAACTTGTCTTGATTAATCCAAAAATGCGCAGGTATATAGTTAGTGTTCTAAAATTAAAAAGGTGTGAGTAATCATAATTTAGTTTTACCCAGAAATATTTTATGTTCTGCTCCTTACCCCCTTCTCTTTATTCCTCTTTTTCAACACCTTGTTCTAATGCTTAAATATTAGTCTGGACATTTGCCGAAGACTTGGTTACTTTACCCAGAAGTCTGTAAACTTATTATCTGATGAATGTCAACAAGACCTTAGCACGTTTGCCTCATCGATTCTTGTTACAAGCAGACCTGGATTTATCTTGCACTGGTTCTTAGCGATTAGTGTTTCATCATACCGTAAGCGTCATAACTCGCGCCAACTATCGTATTGTACATGTCGGAGTCTGAAACATTATCTACAATTTTATGTGAAAAATTTTAGCCATTTATAAGTAGTCAACGTATCGTGTGGAAATTTTTAAGTAACTGAGCAATCTTTTTAGGAAAATATGGTAACAATTCTAACATTTTGATCTTGCCTGTAAACTGACATGCCTCTTGTTGTTATTTGAAAATAAATTATCATTATTAATTCTGAACTCGAAAATCTTCACCTTATCCCTATGACCATTGTTCGTCCGTGCGAATCCGGATATCAGTAAATCTGAAGCTCATTTGACTACATACTGTGATTACAAATTTAAACAGACGTTAACTCATGACTCTATGACAAGCAGGCAATTGGTTTAAAATACATGAATATTTGGGTTGTTTTAACTTTACTTCTCTGAATGACAATAAAAGCTTGGGAGTGTCAGTTACTAAACAATTTACAAACAAATTCAAGGTTTGTATAACCTATTTATAATGGTAAGCAGAACAAACTTACTTATTGTATTGACATAGAATACTGTCTAAAAACACCAACTTGGCAAACATCAGGTCAGATCTGTTTGGATAAAAACTATGTTTATAGTCTGTCTGAATAAGTATTGCACTGTAAACTTACTGTGAAATTTATTGTAAGCACAGACACAGGACAACTGCTTGAGGCAAGTCACGCATGTCCTTTTTATAAGAAGTTTTTAAATTGTTAGCTCTGTTCTTGTTTACCGTCGGAGACGGAAATCCGTGATGTAAGGTAAGGTGTTTTTAGGGCTGACCTTTTCTAACCCCTTCTTTACTTGTGAGAAGGCAGCATCGCTGCAGATGCTGGTTGTACGAGGGAAACACCTCACTGCTGTCACGCCTCTCTACAGTCAGCAGGACGACTTCGCCCTCAGACCTTGAGTAGCTGCCTATAATCTCATGGTTCTCAAATCGACCTACATGGCATGGCAGAACCTACAGGAGTATATGTTCCAGCCAATGTAGCTGGGTTGGTTCATCACGATAGGCAAGCCCGACCACCACGACAAGGTAGCAGCTTCGGTCGGGCTGCACTGTTGTAGAGACCTCAAATAAATAAACATGAGGCTGAAGCACAGTTTTTAGTATACTAGGTGAAATTATGATAAGCTAGCAGCCATGGTCAAGTATTCTAATGAATCTTCTAACATTCTGTTATCGGTTTTCCACTTGTGAAATGGTCTGTTATTGTTAAAATAAAGGAAAGATTAGCTGTACGACAAAATGTTTCATTCCCCTACACATGATTCGGTGGTTAAATTCTAGTATTTTTACATTTTAAACAACTGCGACTTGAAATCTGGCAATGAATCAGAAAATGACAACTCTATGCAACTTTCCTATTTTCAAAAGTCCCTCATTTGATATTAATAAATAAAGAGTTATGAACTAATTGGATATCAACGTCTACCGTCATTACAATTAAATTAGTGATACTACTTAATCGTCCGTTATAAGTATTTAGAGGCTTGAAGACACAATGTTACGTATCTGTTACATAAGCATGCTCTTCTGTTTACATTGGTTATTTCTCACAGTTGGACGAATAATATAGGCAGAAACTAACATTTCTAATCAGCTACATCATGAGATTGTCAGTTTGCACAAAGCTGCTGTAAATATGTTAGGTGTGCTTTAATCGAGGTTTGTTGACTTTTAAATCATGATTAGCCATATGTGAGGAACCTGAATTAATGCTAGGGAATATACTTAGAATGTGCCTAGGCGCTAAGTGTGAGACACCATGTATTAACAAACTTTCACTTCAGTTATCTCCATACTATTGGCAATAACCTAATTCAAGTAATGCAAGACGACTGAGGCCATAGTATAACCTATCTTGAAATAGCTTAGTAGCCAAAATTGACTGAATCCAAGCTCATTGAAGAAAAGACCAACTCTTTCCGAATCGAATCAGAATACTTGCTGGGACTTAAGCCACTCATTTCTTCTGCGCAAATCTGACATATAGCCAGATTAGATCTAACAACAAAACAGCATCTCCTGTGCACAGGCCTTCATTTTTACTACTGACAGCACATCAGGGTTGAGGAAACATGCACCTAGACCACAGCATTTCGACAACCTTGAGTAAATCAAAGCAACTGTAGGACGTACCGGAAACATGTGTTAACCTGCCCTCACCGACTAATCTTGCGAATACACAAATCAGAGGTTATGTGAAAGTATACCCGATTTTCCAGAAGACTAGAATTAATTACGGTAAGATCGTAGTAACCATAATGATCCGAAGGACTCACTCTTATGTAAGCACCAGGACATGGAACAAGTATCATGGACTTCGTGCAGCAACAGAATTGAGGAGTAACCCAGGTCTATCCTAATAAGTTCTACCAGTGTTTACATCGACCCGATGGTGATGGCTGGTAGAAATTAAATTTACTATGAGTAGCCAACTTTTTACTGAATGTGGAACTTTGGCCAACCTTATATCGCGAGTAATTTAACGCTCTCCTAAAATACAACCCTAAGTAAACTGTCAACTTGGTTAATTTCCCCTTGGCAACATTTTAAACGAGGCTAAGTTCACGCAACCTAAATATCTTAAAACTTCAAATGTTTCACAATGAGGTTTTGCATTTAACTTTAAGCTGGTTTATACGTTAGGACTAGTTACTGTACAGTCCCTTTACTATAACACCACCACATAGCATTACGTTGAGCACAGATACGAAACCATGAAGTAGAAACCAACACAACTTATTGTGATCAGCAGCGACCTAAATAATGTACAGCATTCCAGCGCCATTCAGAAAACAACTTATTAGTGATTATATATTGACAAATGCAGTGGTCAATAAACATTTGATTTATTTACAATAGTTTTAACTTGAAGGATGCAACAATGTTTTAGCAGTTACTGAATCTGGGAAGAGTTGGTGATAATTTATTAAAGGAACGTAGGCTGCAGTAATTAACCGTCCGGAGAAATACCGACCATGTAACATGTTCACACACTGAGTAGCAACTGCTATGCTAGGACATTTGACATAAACATTCCCTTGGGCGCTGGTGCGATCGACGAAAATGTGAAGACATCCACCAGCCTTGGTACACTCCTCAATAACATCGTCACGTATTTCTTCGAAAACCGAATGAGTGGCGACGTGTGGATCGAACATATTGGACAGCATGAAACATTGTGTACACACGGGGGGAGCAATTGCTGATGATGAACTGACGCTGCCAGCTGAACCCAGTATCGGATTGTTTTGACCAATGTGCAGCTGAGCGAGGGCAGCCTTGGGAATCTCTAAACCGGTGCCTTCAGCAAGTTTAGCCATCAAAGCCAATCTCCCAGTGGTGCCAAGATCGACACCTGAACGGTCAGCTTCGTCGTTGTCTAGAGCGCTTAGACAAGCATACTCACTTCGTTCGGTCACATGGTTCACCTTAAAATGTAAGTGTTATGAAAGCACTACTTACCTTCATTGGTCGGCCAGCCAACTCGAATCCATTTAGTTGGTCTAGTGCTTTCTTGGCATCATCACTGTTGACGTAAGTTACGAAGCCATAGCCTTGTGAACGGTTGGTAGCAGGGTCCTTAATTAATTTAATGTCCTCTATCTTCCCAAAGGGCTCAAAAATACCCTTCAACATTTCCTCTGTGATGTTGTAGTGTAAGGAACCGATGTACAGTTTCATTGGCCCCTTGTTCTGTTGGGACGGCCGAGGCAACGAGGGAGTGGCACTTACCCGATTTTTTTCGGCATGGCTTTGTTGGATCTGGATTGGAACACCCAATAAGCGAGTGCCGGTAAGTCCAAGAGCCAACTGAGCTGACTCGACCTCACGGAACTCGACATAGGCTATTCCTTTCGACCTTTTGGTTTTATTATCCATGATAAGACGGACATCCCTAATTTTACCCACTGAGGTGAAGAAGTCTTCCAAGTCTCGCTGTCGAATGCGCGCAGATAGCTGCCAGACGAAAACCGTCCTTGCGTCTCGCTCTTCTGGGCTAAGTTCAGGACTGTGAATTAGAGTAAACTAAATTACAAAAGAACATACGATTTGTGACGCCTCTCAGGTCGAGACGACTTGATCTCATCTCTACTAGACCGATGTCGGTCTCTGTCACGTGAGCTATGGCGACGATCACGCCGTCCCCGGTCGGATTCGTAATTCTTATCCCGTCGACGTTCTTTGCTTCTGCTTCGCGACCTGTGCCTACAAAAAATAGCTTGACAAGGAAGCCAAGATCTTTACCTTCTACTGCGATCTCTCGAACGCGAACGACCACGTTTCCGATGACCATTGGACTTGGAATAGCCCTATTGAGCGACAATATTAGCAGATTCAGGAGATGGAAAGGAATAAAAAAGACAGGCAGGAAAATAAATGCTTTCGTAAAACATACCGAAACAATCAATTGATAACTACAGCTGTGGGAAAGGGCCAGACGTCCACAACGACGTCAACGAGGATCGTAGACCCAGAGTATCCTAACAAAACATAAAGAATTTCTGTCAAAATTAGTTAACATTATCTTGTGCCAGTCAAGGGACCCTAAACTAAGGACGAGTAAAACATAACATACCTCGCGAGCGTAGTGGTCCTCAAGCATAGCCTCAACGTCTATATCGTCAGTCATTGTTTCGAAGTTGAGTGTCGACCAATGGTATGTGCCAGAATTGCCGGTTTAGCCAAAACAAAGACGAACTATTTGACGAGACGGATTGAACCTCCAGACTGTAAATTACGCGGCGACCTGACGAACGACTAATGAGGCCATCCTGGATAAACAAAAAACGGTTCAATATCAAGGAGGCAACTTTTTAAGGACCTGAGAACAACAGAAAGAGGTACCATAAAAGTGTTTCTGTTGTTTTTCAAAAATGGGCTTTCAGAACCATGAGAAAACAATAACTTAAGTTTTGAAATATCCTAGATTTCAAGTTGGTGTGTGCAAGCCTTAAAATACTTATGTTACCATGTTTTAAGTCGGTCCCTTGGTCTCTCTAGTCCTTTTTGTTGGGAAAATTTTCCCGTTTTTTCTTCACTACAGTGATATCTCTCGGGAATGCATCATCCTGTTTAAGAAACTTTCTTTCGAAGAGTTTTAATTTCTCAGGGTGACAGTGTTCATACTTGCCATCAGCATCATATTCCAAGGTGGTTTATGTGTTTTTAAATCGTGTACCGTCATATTGCAGTAACGTTCTTAAGCCTTTCTGGTATATATTTTTCACCACCTAATGTCTTAATGCACTTCTAAGCCTTACATATCAACCTATGTATGGTATCCTTACTAGAATCGCTGACCAGCATTTTCCAACTAACCATGTCTTGGGCCTCCGTTTCCAGTTCTATTCGATTTTCGTTCTTTCTCTTCATGTCTGTTTCTGGTTCTCAGCCCAGTGTGTTCCTCGGTCTGCCTCTTCTCTCTTGGTCTTTTGGGTTCCAAGTTAGAGGCTGCTAAGCCTATTCATCCCCAATTTTTAACCCTCGGTATTTCGGTCCAGTAGTATCGAAACCAGGTTCTGTAACGCAGAAACTGACATCTACATGAGAGAAGTGACCGACGCAAGTGCTCTTTTCCTTGTATTAGTGAACCAGAAACCAAACACTGAGGCTAGTTCCATCATGGGTGAGTTTCGAACAAGACAAACAAAATTTCAGATCTCTACTACACGTTCTCATGCTTTCCTAATACCCTAAGTATTTCAATACCATCACAAACCTCAAAAACTCTTTGTAAAAACAACTTTCCCAATCTCGTGACAATGAAAATCTACAGCACATCACGTAAGTCATCTCGGAACCTTCAGAAAATCCTCGGACCTCCCCATACCAAAAACTACTGAGAACTGAACAAATGTGAAAAGATTCCTTGACATCTCATATTCAAGATAACCACAGGAGGTAGATAGAGCCATACTTTACATATCACTTATGTAATGATGGGTGTTCTGACACGTTAATACTAGCAAAGAGATTAGCACCTTTCAACTAGACCCATACGGTCGTGTGTTTATCCAACAGGATGTAAACAGAAAAACCGATCGAGATAATTGGTGGAGGGTATATTTGTCTAGACGTGAATCCATGAAAAACCGCTCATTCAATGTTTGTTGCTGCAGACATCTAAGTGCCACAGATCTAATAGAGCATCACAAACTACTTGCCCAACTACGCAAACAGGGATTGTTCGATAGAAATACTAAATTATCTATCTACTCGACTTCATCATCCGATCGCAGCATAAATTACGACTAGAGATGGTAGTAATACTACTCAGATTGGCACGCCGCAACCTGCTGATGAACACCAAGGCTTCCCAAGTTTGCTTACTCCGTGTCTCAAATTCAAGACCTGTGATCGGATGATGAAGTCGAGTAGATAGATAATTTAGTATTTCTATCGAACAATCCCTGTTTGCGTAGTTGGGCAAGTAGTTTGTGATGCTCTATTAGATCTGTGGCACTTAGATGTCTGCAGCAACAAACATTGAATGAGCGGTTTTTCATGGATTCACGTCTAGACAAATATACCCTCCACCAATTATCTCGATCGGTTTTTCTGTTTACATCCTGTTGGATAAACACACGACCGTATGGGTCTAGTTGAAAGGTGCTAATCTCTTTGCTAGTATTAACGTGTCAGAACACCCATCATTACATAAGTGATATGTAAAGTATGGCTCTATCTACCTCCTGTGATTATCTTGAATATGAGATGTCAAGGAATCTTTTCACATTTGTTCAGTTCTCAGAAGTTTTTGGTATGGGGAGGTCCGAGGATTTTCTGAAGGTTCCGAGATGACTTACGTGATGTGCTGTAGATTTTCATTGTCACGAGATTGGGAAAGTTGTTTTTACAAAGAGTTTTTGAGGTTTGTGATGGTATTGAAATACTTAGGGTATTAGGAAAGCATGAGAACGTGTAGTAGAGATCTGAAATTTTGTTTGTCTTGTTCGAAACTCACCCATGATGGAACTAGCCTCAGTGTTTGGTTTCTGGTTCACTAATACAAGGAAAAGAGCACTTGCGTCGGTCACTTCTCTCATGTAGATGTCAGTTTCTGCGTTACAGAACCTGGTTTCGATACTACTGGACCGAAATACCGAGGGTTAAAAATTGGGGATGAATAGGCTTAGCAGCCTCTAACTTGGAACCCAAAAGACCAAGAGAGAAGAGGCAGACCGAGGAACACACTGGGCTGAGAACCAGAAACAGACATGAAGAGAAAGAACGAAAATCGAATAGAACTGGAAACGGAGGCCCAAGACATGGTTAGTTGGAAAATGCTGGTCAGCGATTCTAGTAAGGATACCATACATAGGTTGATATGTAAGGCTTAGAAGTGCATTAAGACATTAGGTGGTGAAAAATATATACCAGAAAGGCTTAAGAACGTTACTGCAATATGACGGTACACGATTTAAAAACACATAAACCACCTTGGAATATGATGCTGATGGCAAGTATGAACACTGTCACCCTGAGAAATTAAAACTCTTCGAAAGAAAGTTTCTTAAACAGGATGATGCATTCCCGAGAGATATCACTGTAGTGAAGAAAAAACGGGAAAATTTTCCCAACAAAAAGGACTAGAGAGACCAAGGGACCGACTTAAAACATGGTAACATAAGTATTTTAAGGCTTGCACCCACCAACTTGAAATCTAGGATATTTCAAAACTTAAGTTATTGTTTTCTCATGGTTCTGAAAGCCCATTTTTGAAAAACAACAGAAACACTTTTATGGTACCTCTTTCTGTTGTTCTCAGGTCCTTAAAAAGTTGCTTCCTTGATATTGAACCGTTTTTTGTTTATCCAGGATGGCCTCATTAGTCGTTCGTCAGGTCGCCGCGTAATTTACAGTCTGGAGGTTCAATCCGTCTCGTCAAATAGTTCGTCTTTGTTTTGGCTAAACCGGCAATTCTGGCACATACCATTGGTCGACACTCAACTTCGAAACAATGACTGACGACATAGACGTTGAGGCTATGCTTGAGGACCACTACGCTCGCGAGGTATGTTATGTTTTACTCGTCCTTAGTTTAGGGTCCCTTGACTGGCACAAGATAATGTTAACTAATTTTGACAGAAATTCTTTATGTTTTGTTAGGATACTCTGGGTCTACGATCCTCGTTGACGTCGTTGTGGACGTCTGGCCCTTTCCCACAGCTGTAGTTATCAATTGATTGTTTCGGTATGTTTTACGAAAGCATTTATTTTCCTGCCTGTCTTTTTTATTCCTTTCCACCTCCTGAATCTGCTAATATTGTCGCTCAATAGGGCTATTCCAAGTCCAATGGTCATCGGAAACGTGGTCGTTCGCGTTCGAGAGATCGCAGTAGAAGGTAAAGATCTTGGCTTCCTCGTCAAGCTATTTTTTGTAGGCACAGGTCGCGAAGCAGAAGCAAAGAACGTCGACGGGATAAGAATTACGAATCCGACCGGGGACGGCGTGATCGTCGCCATAGCTCACGTGACAGAGACCGACATCGGTCTAGTAGAGATGAGATCAAGTCGTCTCGACCTGAGAGGCGTCACAAATCGTATGTTCTTTTGTAATTTAGTTTACTCTAATTCACAGTCCTGAACTTAGCCCAGAAGAGAGAGACGCAAGGACGGTTTTCGTCTGGCAGCTATCTGCGCGCATTCGACAGCGAGACTTGGAAGACTTCTTCACCTCAGTGGGTAAAATTAGAGATGTCCGTCTTATCATGGATAATAAAACCAAAAGGTCGAAAGGAATAGCCTATGTCGAGTTCCGTGAGGTCGAGTCAGCTCAGTTGGCTCTTGGACTTACCGGCACTCGCTTATTGGGTGTTCCAATCCAGATCCAACAAAGCCATGCCGAAAAAAATCGGGTAAGTGCCACTCCCTCGTTGCCTCGGCCGTCCCAACAGAACAAGGGGCCAATGAAACTGTACATCGGTTCCTTACACTACAACATCACAGAGGAAATGTTGAAGGGTATTTTTGAGCCCTTTGGGAAGATAGAGGACATTAAATTAATTAAGGACCCTGCTACCAACCGTTCACAAGGCTATGGCTTCGTAACTTACGTCAACAGTGATGATGCCAAGAAAGCACTAGACCAACTAAATGGATTCGAGTTGGCTGGCCGACCAATGAAGGTAAGTAGTGCTTTCATAACACTTACATTTTAAGGTGAACCATGTGACCGAACGAAGTGAGTATGCTTGTCTAAGCGCTCTAGACAACGACGAAGCTGACCGTTCAGGTGTCGATCTTGGCACCACTGGGAGATTGGCTTTGATGGCTAAACTTGCTGAAGGCACCGGTTTAGAGATTCCCAAGGCTGCCCTCGCTCAGCTGCACATTGGTCAAAACAATCCGATACTGGGTTCAGCTGGCAGCGTCAGTTCATCATCAGCAATTGCTCCCCCCGTGTGTACACAATGTTTCATGCTGTCCAATATGTTCGATCCACACGTCGCCACTCATTCGGTTTTCGAAGAAATACGTGACGATGTTATTGAGGAGTGTACCAAGGCTGGTGGATGTCTTCACATTTTCGTCGATCGCACCAGCGCCCAAGGGAATGTTTATGTCAAATGTCCTAGCATAGCAGTTGCTACTCAGTGTGTGAACATGTTACATGGTCGGTATTTCTCCGGACGGTTAATTACTGCAGCCTACGTTCCTTTAATAAATTATCACCAACTCTTCCCAGATTCAGTAACTGCTAAAACATTGTTGCATCCTTCAAGTTAAAACTATTGTAAATAAATCAAATGTTTATTGACCACTGCATTTGTCAATA